AAGCAATCATCCCAAACCAAACCAGAACTGCTGCTTCTTCTCGGTCCAATAATCCGAGCAATGAGCAAATCAGCCGGCGGCGCCACCGCGATTCAGCCGCCGATGGCAACGTCCCAGAAATCCGTTGCGAAGAAGAAAAGGAACAGCCTTAGCGGGTGCTTAAAAGCTCCGTTCCGTTTTCTTCGGCGCGCGAGGGATATGTATGTAAAGGGGCTGGGGGGCTGCGCCGGAGCGGGAGGTGGTGCGCGCGGCGGTGGTTTCACTGCCGGCGTGGTGGCGCTGATGCCGCGAGCGAGAAGCCGGAGTGCGTTCGGGCCTTCGAACCGGTTCAGTTCAAGCGATGATGATTTCAGTGATCTGGTCCGAGCTAGTTCCAAGGTAAGGGAGGCCGCGGCGGCGGTCGTGGTGACGAGGACTCAAAGTGCGCCGACTATTGAAAGGATAGAGGAGGTGGAGGAGGAGGAGGTTCTTGAGAGAAGTCAGAGCTGCGCGGTGCAGCCGGCGGCGGCGGCGGCTGGTGGGAGATTGATTCGCCGTTAAGGCATGGTGATGATTTGCAAGCAGAGCCCAACTGTTATGGGTGAAGTCCGCTTTTATATATATATATTTCAGCTCTTGGATTTAAGGCCCCATATAGTCGATCTTTCATGTCGTCTCCTTCTTCATTTTTGTCTCTCACTGCAAATCTAGACTCGCTGATTATACATACCTTACCATTAAATATCACCCGGCCGGCTTAACTCTGCTTATGAAACTTCAATCCAGAAGGGATTTTTAAGATTGTATTCAGCCGGGGAATCACATAATTAACCTGGCGTGGCATTAAAAATGTCATTTTGACTAGATGCATGGATTAGATCGATTATAATTTTGGGTGGGTAATATTAATGTTTATTTTTGATAATGTATGTTAAGGAAAATTTATCCATCCATGGTGCCTTGATATCTAAAAAGAATTTGAATATTTAAATTAGCAGTTCTGAACCTGTTCCAAATGGTTTGGTATTGCAAGATAAATTCCCGCAGTATCTGGAAGATCTACTTATGTGTTCAACTATGCCTAAATCAAATACTTTGAAGCATAGTTAAAATTTTCTTGAGATTATTTACATGGTTAAATGAAGGTAAAATTTTGTGTTTTTATAGTTGCAACAAGCACATGGATTAAATGATTATGATATCATTAGCTTTGATAATCCGATTCAAAATTGATTTAGATATTAAGGTTGCGAATATGTTTATATGATAATCAAGGGCGTCCTAAAAGGATTAAATAGAAAGTAAGCAGTGTGATCAGTTCAAATCTTAAATTTAGAGGTAAAATTAAATTTGGGAGGTTGTACATTTAGTAAAATTATTGTGTCCGCCCACCGCACGTAGAGATGTGTGCGGTGGACCAATAAAAATTCCTCATTTATCAAAAAGTGTATGTCAGTGAGCCCATTTTTAAATTTTTTTTAAATTTTTTTTTTTTTCATTGGAGCCGTCCGCACGCAATAATCTCTCGTACATTTAGGCCATGTATGGAAATGAGTTGAAATTTTGGATTTTGATCGAGCATAAAGGAGAATTTAATTTTGGGATAAATGGTTATTTGGGAAAGTGGAATTTTGCTCTAGGCATGAAAGATATTAATGCTTTAAACCAAGCAAAGAAGTAGCCAGAATTTTGTATCAATTTAAACAACTATTTTATGAAATTTTATTTATTTTACTAATATTTCATCTCTTTTATGTACTTTATATTATTATATATATGCATGGATCAACATGTACCAAAAAGATTATTAATAAATGAAATGATTTGAGTTTGGATTGCCCTTGAATAGCTTTACCGATACATATGACTTGGCTGCCCTCTTCTTTAAGGAATTAGGTGGTTACCCAATAAAATAATAGTTAGAACTTGCTTGAACACTTTAACCATCATGGTAATATCCCTCATCCATTTACTTTCATCTAATTCACATTTAGGATGTATTCATACTCAATCAAAATGATCTAATGGAGACATGAACATTAGACTCAGATGTTTATTTTCATTTTATAACTAATAAATATCTAATGGTGAATTTCTATAAAGATAATTGTGATAAATTATGTCTTATAAATTAATGACGAGATCTTGAATATAATGTGCATTGAATATGTGATAATAATAATAATAATGATAAAATACAACACTTTTGAATAAAGTCTTAAGAACAAGTTTTATCTCTATTACGTACTTAGCAATAGAAGAATGTCTCACCATTTAAATGATGATACTTAAAAATGTTATAATGGAGCCGTGGCAATTGTTTAGGCAAAAAAACATACATTCTTTACACTAACTTCAATATTGAAATGATAGAATTAACCACTAATATAAAGATAAATTCAAATATATAACATCTAATTAAGGCTAGACCATATAAATAAGAAATGCTTATCGGTTTTCCACTTTAGAGGTAAAGTTAAAGTTTAAAATCGATTAATCCACCTTTGTTGATGACTATATTTTAGTAAAATAAAAGAGGGCCAGTTTCTTAAAGATCACAAGAGAGCTCAAACATGGAGGGCTAGAACTAGCACATATAAATGTATGGAAACCATCTCACATTGCTTCTTTAGGAGGAACATTGCACTACATCACCTTCTTTGATAAAAGTACGAAGAAAATATGCCTTTATTTCATTAAAAATAAATATAAGATGTTTATTGCTTTGATGATTTAGAAGATCTTGGTGGAAATTGAAATAGAGACAAAGTTAAATGTCTAAGATTATATAATGATGGAGGGTATGATTTTATAGAATTCAAAAAACAAATGCACTAACATAAAATTTATATGGAGAGAAAAATCCTAAGAACTCAAAAACGAGATGAGGTAGCTAAGAAAATAAATACAATTCTTAATTTAATTATAAGGAGCGAGTGATTAAATCATATCGTTTAAAAGCTTTTTTGGTAGACATAATAAAGGCATTATTTTTGATCGATAGAAGACCATCAATTTCACTCTACCTTGGACTTCATGAACAAATATCAATAGGAAAAGAGGTGAACTCGTCATATCTAAAAATTTTAAATTATTAACTTTTTATTTATCATGATTATTAGATAATAACAAACCAAAACTGTTGTGAAAATTAGCGGAATAAAACAGGAATCGACACAAACTAGAAGAAGAACACAGATATTTTATATTTAACGAGGTTCGGCAAAGAATTGCCTACGTCCTTATTTAACGAGGTTCGGCAATTCTGCAAAGAATTGCCTACGTCCTTGGGAGCGAGCGGCGGTTTCACTATTTCAGAGAAGTTACAAAACAACTCATAGGGTTACACATATATATAGACATATACAAACTCTCACATAAAATTACAATCACGCCCTCGCTCCTCCCAACCCCCTTTATTCCAAGAGACACTCCTTTTCACCAGGAGTCACACCTCTTCACCAAGAAACTCCAACTCCCTAGATATGAGCCATACCTAACAATTCTCCACCTTGGCGAATATCCAACACTTTAGGAGATATGCATCACCCGGTATATGTGCCTTCCAAACAAATCTCCACCTTAGTGAATATTTAGCTCCTTTAGGAGAAAATCTCCACCTTGCGAATATCAAATCCTTTAGGAGAAAAAAAAATCTCCACCTTACGAATATCCTGCCTCTTATGAGAAATATCTCATGGAGTTTCTTATACCAAAGTGGGTTGGGCAACCAAACCATCTAACCTAGCTTGGTCAAAGTTCGTGTTGCATTTTCACCATATGATTCAACAGAGCGATCTCCACCTGCAACTGTACTCCCTATCAGTTTATAGATGTTACCTACAGTGATCTTCCCTTTCATCACAGTCAGTGCACCCTTAACAATTCTGATGGTTTCCCTATCCTCATCTGCCTTAGGAATGAAACCATTTCTGTGTAGAGTGCCCAAGGAAATCAAATTCTTCTTCAACTCTAGAACATGCCTGACATCACATAATGTTCTAACAGTATCATCATAAATCGTAATTCCGACTTTACCAATAACAGCAATATTGCAACGTCTATTATCACCCAAATAGACTGAACCAGAATCAGATAACCTGTATGAAGTGAACCACTCTCTGTTAGGTGTTATGTGATAAGAACATTCTGAATCAAGAATCCATCCATTCTTTAACTGAGTTGTTGTAACTGAAAGCGCATCACCATCACTGTAATTTGTAATGTCACTCTGCACCATATTCACAGCCCTGGAAGATACATCTAGCCTTTTTCTTGAGCATTGGACAATCTCTTTTCATATGTCTCTGTTCCTTGCACTTAAAGCAACAAATCTTCTTGCCTTTAGGCTTTGACCTGGAACTTTGCCTTCCAGAATTCTCCTTCTCCTCCTTACTTTCACGATCCTGATTACACTTAGCATATAAACAATTACCATGAGAGCTTTCCTCTGCATTCTACTTCTGCTGGTTGTGAGCCAACAATGCTGCAGTAATCTCATCAATTTTAATTATTTATTTCTCATATGTAAGAGTAGTCACCAGATGTTCATAAGAAGTAGGCAATAAACACAAAAGAATCATTGCTCAGTCTTCATCCTCAATATTCACATCAAGCCGTGTCAGATCCGTGATTATTTGATTGAAGACATTCAAGTGCTGAACCAGATCAGTGTCTGTCTGCATCTTCAGCCCATACAACATTTGCTTCAAATACAATTTATTCGTCAGAGATTTGGACATAAACTGAGATTCCAATTTCTTTCATACTTCTCCTGGAGATTTCAGATTCATAACATGATACATAATCTCATCTGCCAGCATAAACGTATGGTACCTGCCGCTCGAAGTTGTAACTCTTCCCAATCTTCATCTTCCATATTATCAGATTTCGTAACCCGCAAAGCCTTCAAAATTCGTTGTTGTGCCAACAAATCTTTTACCCTTGTTTGCCACAATCCGAAGTTCCCCGTTCCATCGAACTTCACTATCTCTAATTTTGCTTCAGACATTGCTATTTGAAATTTAATCATGCACCGTATTTTCCTGCCTTGCTTCGAAAAACAAAAGAAAATACTCCGCAAATAAATTCAAAGAAACCTGAAATTTTTCTTGTCAAATTCAACAATTATCCCGCAATTCTCCTGTGATTCGTGAATCATATTTTCTCACGAAGCACTTTTCCTGTTCGTACCAGTACCTCGGCCAATTGTTGTTTCCGCGAGCCACGAATCCCTTCGCACCTGTTCGAGGAATACCTCCACGAAACTTTTGTTCACGAAATAATCGTGCCTGCTCGCCTCCTGCACCCTGCCGAACTCCACCTGTCGCAAAATCTCCTGCGACGAACCAGCGAATTTAACTGGTCGAATTCCTCAGATTTTTTGCAGAACAAGGCTCCTGTTCGCGGTTGACAGCCTCTGTTTTCCACGGATTGTTGAACTTGCCGAACTCCTCTGTTTCCTGAAACTGCACGACGGTTCAGGAAACCTTGCGTGCCTGTTTGTCCTTCGCGACTCCCTGAATCGTGATCCTATTGCAGCCCCTTGCGGTTCCCGTAACTGCCTCGAGATGCTCCACGCGAATGCCGCAAACTCGAATCTCGCGATTGTGAACCCCGCGAACCCTTTTGCTCCGCGCGATTCCTTCCTTCGCAGCAGTGCAAAGCTTTTCTTCTCTGGTTGCGGCGACTCGCCAGGCCTAGTCGCGGATCGTCGCTGCTTCTCCCGTGATTCGCAAGCACCGAAAACCCTCGTCGTCAAAGCCCGTCCGCGACACTCTTCTTTCTGAACGAACTGTTGTTCGCACTCCTCTCGCCGGCTCTTTCGCAGAACTGCTGAACAAGGCTTCCCAACTGCACGATCTTCCTCCGCGAATCTCCTCTGGCTCGAACTCC